ACAGCAGCACGCCATCATCTTGCAGGCAGACAATGAGGATAGGACAGCTATTGAGAAAAGCGCGTGGCTTCGGAGGCTCAGGACATGTCCCGACGGCACCTGCAGGTTTTCTTTTCCTGGGGCCGCGGGCACTGGCGGTGCTGCACCTGCCGCGGGCCAGTGCCCTGCCTGTCAGCCGCATACCTGGGCGCTGCTGCAGGCCCTGGCCTGCTCCACATCCTGCCCTGCTGCGGTTCTGTCTCCCCACTGCACCCCCGCTCAGTAGACTCTGCGGAGCAAGGCTGTCCCTCCCAGACCTGCCATTTGATTTTCTAGAATCCTGTGGCCATGAAAGGAGAGAAAAACACAGCGCTTTTTGCCTCTCCCTCCGGCCACAGGCCAGGGCGAGACCTTGCTTGCCTTTATCCAATCTGTTCTCAGTCAATTTCTTTCCTTATTATGGTGTTTGCAGAAGCAAACCCTTCTCACATATACGGTTCACGCTGCGTTTATACTACTGGGTACCTTGGCAGAGAGATGAAACCCATCGTTTGGTGAAATAGGCATTTGTTGACATGAGAAAGCCACTGTTCTTTTCTAACAGAACTAACACGTAAGCTTTTTATGAAACCAAAGGCTATATGCTACTGGATCTTGAAAAATTTATATGACTTTTTCAAGCTCTAAGAGATATCTGCAGAGGTGAACCTGTTCAGAGAGACAGGGAGAGGCAGACTCAGAAAAAGTGGCAGGAAGCAGCTCCCAAGCAGGGGCCTGGCTGAGAGCAGCGGAGGGCATCCCTGCAGGTGCGGAGGCCCGTCCTCGGCCCTGGAGCTGCGTCTGGCTCAGTAGCAAGGCTGGACTCCAAGGTCTGCAGTCTTCCCACCCTGTGTTTTGTTCCTCGATGCTGGAGCAATGAGGACGTTTTGCTATTAGTGGTGGAGTGGGTGCCACTGGCTTTGTGATGACAGCAGTGATTGAAATACTCCAAGTATTCTCTGAAGACAGGAGTGAAAAATCTCGTTTTCTGCTTTATTGGAGCTCTTCACACAGGCTGTGCATTGCATCTAGAGAATGCTCCGTCCACTGCACAGGTGACGGGCACTTAAGTTACCATCATCTGGTCAGTGGATGTCTGGTGGCAAAGGGAGGGAGGCGGTGACAGTGTCCTTCAGTGGGGAGGGCGCCTGAGTTTCACCCACATAAGCTACTTCCCTCTCACCTGGCAAACCCCGCAGTCCCAGAACTCTGTGTGAGTGGCTGGGGTCCCATAATAGGCGCAGTGTGGAGCAAAACAGGCTGGAGGGGCGCAGAGATAAACAAGGGGATGTGTATGAGGGGAGGAATGTTTTCTTGAGGGATCTATGGCAGCAGAGCTGCACAGTGAGCCACAGATGATGGAGGAAGGAGCCAGGCCGTGCAGCACCCATCCTGGGGTGATGGCGGGCAGGTGCAAGGACGCATGGGGGTGGTCTGGCACGTCCCAGACTTTCCAGGCAGAGACCCACATGTGGCAGTGCACATGCGCGTGAAAGGGGGCAAGGACGGCATCTGTCCACTTGATGGGCACCGTGGGGATAAATCTCTTTTTAATATTAGATGTACTGACAGGTCCTCCAAAGCAGATCAATCCTTTCTCCCACGCCAGCAAGCCCACTCAGCCCTTCAGGTCCACTGCGGAGGGAAGCTGAGGAAGGTGGTCTGCCTTCCTGCCGGTGGACGGCCCATCAAGAGTCCTTCCTCATGGTGGCTGGCCAAGTTATTTCTAGCTGCCATAAAGACCGCTTGATTTAATAAAATTTCTTTAGGTGCAGATAGCGTGAGCGTTAACATTTGGATTGAAACAACTTCCCATTCGTTGTGATAATGGTTGCTCCTTACGGACTTAGTCCTATTAAACTAAACCATAGTCTTCATTTCTCCAGGTGAAAGAAGAGGTCTCTTTGGCAGTGTGGGACGTGTTTGCCATGTGCCAAGGGCCATGCTTGCTGGGCCTCCAGGCTACCCAGACCCAAGCTTCTCCCCGGTGCCCGTGCTGCACCGAAGGGCCCGATGGAACGTGGACTCTGCCTCAGCAGGGCTGAGACCCAAGACTCTGCAGGAGTCTGGGGTTCTGGGGCTCCATGGGCATGAGGCAGGGGGGTCTGGGCTGCCCACACTGCACAGCAAAGGGCCACCAGTGCTTCCAGATTCACCTTCTAGAGAGTGGGGAGCTCCCTTGGATGGATGCTCCATTGAAGATGGACTCCAGGGGTGCTCTTGGGCACCAACACAGGCCCATCCTAGGTACACTGCCTGCTCTGCGCTCCACTCCCACCTTCCACTCACTTCGGCCACCACTGTGTTAGTCACGTGTCAGCCTCGGGGCAAGGGAGAGCCTACCAGCAGACACTTGTTCCCAAGAGCCATGTGCGAGCAGGTGGGCTGGAGCAGGTGCTACTGTGAGCAGGGCTGCCCCTTCCTGCTCCCACAGAGCCTGCATGCTGTCCTGGAGCCCGTGCTCAGCTGTCTCCCCTGCCTGCCCACGGGCTGCGCATTTTTCTTAAGAGAAGATGAGCACACTGCTCTGTGTCTGTCTCCCTTTTGTTTCCTTCCTTCCTTCCCTCCCTCCCTCCTCCCTCCCTCCTTCCTTCCTTCCTTTCCTTCTCTCCTTCTCTCTTTCTTTTTTTGAGACAAAGTCTCACTCTGTTGCACAGGCTGGAGTGCAGTTGCACGATCTCGGCTCACTGCAACCTCTGCCTCCCGGGTTCAAGCGATTCTCGTGCCTCAGCCTCCCGAGCAACTAGGATTATAGGCGCCTGCCACCATGCCTGGCTAATTTTTGTTTTTTTAGTAGAGATGGGTTTCACCATGTTGGTCAGGCTAAACTCCTGACCTCAGGTGATCCACCTGCCTCAGCCTCCCAAAGTGTTGGGATTACAGGCGTGAGCCACTGCGCCCGCTTTCCTATACCCCATCCCTGGCAACCCCTCAATAAACAGAAGGCTCAGCATATCCCTATTGCTCACTCCATTTCTTTTTACTTTCCCTGCTTTCTGCTCATGCTCACCCAGCTTGCTGGTGTCCATCAAAGGACAGCTCTAGGTGCTACTAGATGCGCTTGTGCAGTGAGTGCTACTGTGGTCCTATATCCACACTCTTTCTTGTTTATAAGGCACCAACTTAGCATGGCCACATAGAGTTTGTGTGGCCTAGGGCACTAAGGCCTTGCTTTTCCCACTCTCTCAGCCGTCATCATCAGCCAGCTGGTCTGATCACCTGTGCGTGCCCACCTGCGTCTGCTCACCTGCACCTGCCCTGCTGTCAGAGCCGAGAGCAGGGTGGCTTTTGCAGCTTAGCCTTCAGGAGCCAGCGGGCAGGAGCAGCCTGCGGCCTGAGGCTGTAGTCAAAGGTGTGGAGGCACATCTGCCGGCAGTCCGGTTCACCTTTACCAGGAACTCCATTTTCCCATAACCCTCCATGAAGCGACTGGAATAGTCACAGGGTGAGTAGAAAATCATGTGCATTAAACTAGAGGCTTCTTCAGCAGGATATGCAAGTAAATGCAAAACCAGGTGGAGCTGAGGACATGGGAGATCCAGAGAGGAGGCCTCACTGTGTGTGTGAGTTCATGCATGCCTGTGTGCACAGAGGAATACACAACACACATGCACACCCACACACATGCATGTGCACACAACCTAAATTTCATTAAGACCAGAAAACAAAGTGCTCTAAAACTCACATAGCAATAGGTTTCATTTGGGTGGTTAGTAATAGGTATAGGAAAACAGTTCTTCACAGTAAGCTGTGTGCTGCTGGGGCACTGTTTTCCTGAAGAGAACACTGCTGGATGCTCAGACAACAGGGATACTGATTTGACCAAGAGTCAGCATTCTGTGGAAGTAGACATTGCATTCTTAGCTTGCAATTTTGTAGGGAAGGTGTTTGTGTATTATACAGTGAGGAATCTTAGTCACCTACGTGCGGCAGCTGAACTGCACCTTGGCCCCCGCCGGCCCGGCCCACTTAGGACGCGGATCCCTGGAGGAATTCCAGTCCTGCCCTGGAATAGCTGCAGGTGGGCAGGCAGCCAGCAGCACGCACTGAGCACTGCCTGAACACTGGGAGGGGCGACCCAGGTGGCATGCAGGATCAGCATGACTGTTCGCAAGAGCATGACACTGAACAGGAGAACACTGCCATGCACACGGCCCTTTCCATTACATCACAGTCATGAGAGCTGACAAGTACTGAACATCTCCCATGTGCCGGGCGTCACTCTAGGTGCTTTCAGTCTATTCACCTAAATCTTCCCCACCCTGCATGGCAGGTGTTCTAAGGACACCCCCACCCCCCGATGACTGTGTACAGTGAGGCACGGAGTGCTCCAGGCCCCCGGACTGCAGTCTGGCCTGGCTGCTGCCTCTCCTGTAGGGAACACACTGTGGCATGGCGCTCAGCTCTTGCTCAGTGGCCCAAGCAGAGGTTTGCTTGCTCCATCCAAGGGGATCAGCTGTGAGTCCTGGGCTCAGGGCATAGGGCGGGGTGCAGGGCTCAGAGCCCCTTCCCAGGAGGCTGCTGCAGGGGTCCTGTGAGGCTGGAGAGGGAAGGAAGGGCTTGGGTGCACCGCTAGCTGGGCAGCACTTCTCCTGTCCCTGAGTCTAGGTGGGGAGCACTGCTCCTGTCCGTGGGTCTAGGTGGGGAGCACTGCTCCTGTCCGTGGGTCTAGGTGGGGAGCACTGCTCCTGTCCGTGGGTCTAGGTGGGGAGCACTAATCCTTTCCCTGGGTCTAGGTGGGGAGCACTACTCCTGTCCCTGGGTCTAGGTGGGGAGCACTACTCCTGTCCCTGGGTCTAGGTGGGGAGCACTACTCCTTTCCCTGGGACTACCCAGAAGCATTGCTCCTGTCCTTGGGTCTAGCTGGGAGCACTATTCCTGTCTGGACCTAGCTGGACAGCACCACTCCTTTCTCTGGGTCTGGCTGGGAGCACAACTCCTCTCCCTGGGTCTAGCCGGGATCATTGATCCTGCCCCTGGGTCTACCAGGGAGCAGTACTCCTTTCCCTGGGCCCAGCCAGGAGCTCATGCCTGCCTCCTTGCTCCTTGGCTGCAGTCAGTATGACAACCACAACACGGAGTTAACTTTCTACAAAGGCAAAATGCCTTCCTATTCCCCACTCCCCGCAAATGTAAGCCAGCTCTTTCTGAGGAGGGCAGGAGATCCCCTTGAGCAGGTATTCAGAGTTGGCAAAAGACACATGGCTCCATTGCTTTCTCCTGCTTCCAGCTGAATATGAAAATGGCTTATTTTCAGAACTGCCTCTGGTGACAGGTCATGAGCAGGCTGAAAGGTAACAGAGAGGCCCCGGAGCACCTGCAGCGTGTGCTCACCCGTGTGCGCTCCTGCGATGTGCATGGACTCAGGCAACGTTGGGAAATTATTGGGGTTGTGAGCACTGAGCTGAAATGGTTGGAGCCACTGTGTGGCAGATGGCTGAGGGGGGACAGAGGAGAATCCCGGGCATGAAGGGACAGTGGGTCGTGCTCACAGGGGCACTCTGCAGCCAAAAGACTGCCAGGTTCATGCAGCCTGGGGGAGAGGGCATGGAGGGGTGCTCTGCTGTGGAAACAGGAGCTGCCCCAGGGCTGGCAGGTGAGTCCCCGCCCCACTTCTCTGGCACAGGCTCAGCCAGCCCACAACAGCCCCCTGGGATCCCCGCTGCCTGCCCCACTCCCTCCCACTGCCACTCACTCAGGAGCCACCCCTCTGTGTCATCAAAGCCACCAGAGCAGGAGACTCCACACACCACTCCCTCCCTCTCGTCCCCTCCCACCGCACAGCAGCACGCCATCATCTTGCAGGCAGACAATGAGGATAGGACAGCTATTGAGAAAAGCGCGTGGCTTCGGAGGCTCAGGACATGTCCCGACGGCACCTGCAGGTTTTCTTTTCCTGGGGCCGCAGGCACTGGCGGTGCTGCACCTGCCGCGGGCCAGCGCCCTGCCTGTCAGCCGCATACCTGAGCGCTGCTGCAGGCCCTGGCCTGCTCCACATCCTGCCCTGCTGCGGTTCTGTCTCCCCACTGCACCCCCGCTCAGTAGACTCTGCGGAGCAAGGCTGTCCCTCCCAGACCTGCCATTTGATTTTCTAGAATCCTGTGGCCATGAGAGAAAAACACCACTCCCTTAACTCTCTGCTTACCTGTTTCCTTTTTTTTTTTTTTTAAAAAAAACATGGCATGAAAACTGTTTTCTCCAATCAGTTAATCTGTTTCTTTTTCCACCTCCCCCTGCCTCCCTTCCCTGTTTTTGTTTTCCTCCTTCGCCTCCTTTTCTTTCTTCCTCCTCTTTCTCCTTTTTCAAGACAGCAAACAGCAACTCTCCTCCTAAACTGAGTGGTCCGTGCGGGTAGGGGCAGGGCCACTTCTGCGCAGCGTTTTTGTGGTCTGGGATGGGGTCTGCCAGGGCTGGCTGCACACATCATGCACACATCCCACGGGGTCACCGTCAGGGTCCCTGGAAATACGGAGGGTGCACCCACTTCCTGGTTAGCGACTAACTTGGATTCCTGAGGGTGCTATGCTCTTTTCTGTGTTTACATGAACCAAGTAATGAGAAATTCGAAGAGGGAAGCAGCTTGCCTTGCACTCAGATTCACACTAACCCAATTAAGAACACAGCAAGTGGACCACGGCGTGAATCTGGCTTATTGGAGCTCACGTAACTTGCATGCAAGTTCATGTTGATCTAATGGGATTTTAGACTTTTATGCTTTCCTACAAATCATATCTCATTAATTTCCATTTGGTGTTTTGCCACGTTAGAGCCAGCATAGCAAACACATTAAATCTTGAATGTGGTTAATCAGAATCCTCGTCATGAGCAGTGTGATACCAGTTGCTTTAGAATTGGTGAACTCTTGATGGGATGAGAAAGAAATTCAAAGAACTCTACTGCACGTGGTAAATGGGATACACTACAGTGTGTATGTCTGTGTGATCTGTGTCATAAGGGAGATGTGTGTGTGTTGGGGGGAGGGTAGTTTCACTAATGCTAAGTCCAACAGGGTAGGATTCATGAGCATTCTAGTGACGTTTACACCAGTGCTTTATCCGACTTTCATGAGATTCATTTTTCTAAGTTCAACTATTGAAGCTATTTTAGAAATATCCTTCAGCTTCCTTATACTAGTAAGAGACTTAAGCACTGCCACATATTTGTTACAGGAGGGACCCAGCAACCCGGGCTCTCCATTTCTGGGCTGTTGGTGTCCACACTTATTCATTACACCTGAGTGCCTATGTAGAAGCTAAGCATGCTGCAAGCTAGGACACACGTGTCCCTGTCCCGACACACCTACTAAAATCCATGCATTCAGATCATACTTATGGTTTATTCAAAGGGGGAAACGGCTTCCCTCTTTGTAACATGATGTAACAGACATTATCTCATTCAATCCTGCCTTACAGAAACCCTGCGAGATAGAGGCAGAGAGAGCAGGTGTTATTCCCATTTTAGATAAGTGTAATTTGTGAAGTAATTCGTAACCTATAAGTAGGATGACAATACATCCTGCTTTGCCTGGGAAAACCCCAGATAACACTGTGCTGATGTAATTATGAGCATCTCCTTTCACGATACCATCCCATATGGGATGATAAATGCCATGGTCCCTACCAAGCTAGAATCACTTTTCACTTATATCAGACTTTCAAAGTTCACGTGACCTGTTCCTGGCCAGGCGGTATCTTGTGACAGTAAGAGGCGGTCGGCGCTGGAACATGGTTCAGGGCAGGGGCTGCAGGTCAGACCTGGCACACATCCCGGCTATACCCCGGCTGTCAATCCTTGGGCTAGTGACTGGCACCTGGAAAGCACCATGTTATAGTTTATTGTGTTTGCCATTTTATCTCATGGCCTCTGGTCATGGGCATCTTTTTCTTCTCCAGGTAGAAGAAGGCTTTCCCTGACATCATCTGAGATGGCTCAAAGAAGCATTCCTGTTCCCTCTCCGGTTGAGGAGTCCGGCTTCCACCATTCTCCTCACTAACGGGTGGTAGTCTCAGCCTCTCCTCCTTTGCATGTTCTGCTGACGCTGCTCTCACTCTGCCTCCCTTGGCGGTACCAGAGTTTTCCAGCCTAGTGACCAGTCCATGTTCTCCACCACACCTGGCTTGGTAAGGCCAGGTCCCAGCCTCATATCCAGATTCTTATTAGCACCAAATACAAAAGGCATTACATCCAAGCCGGAAACTTCCACTATAGAAAGCAAATCCCGAGGTATGTTCAGATGAAAAGAGTGGATAAGAGCGGAATCCATGATCTCACAATACATGTATACCGCATAGCAACCCCGCCTGTGTCCATGGGGGTCTGCTGGGAGATTCTGGAGCTGAGGACAGTCACTCACACCACAGAGTAAGCGGAGGATGTGTGGCAAGAACAGATTTGCTTTAGACAAAGTTCTCTTTAGCATTAGAACTAGGTAAGGTCTGAATCTTGGCTTTTGCCCTTTAGGAGATTTATGATTTTCCTAACTGCAATTTCCTCAATGTGTAGGATGAAAAATCTGTAAGTCATGTTTACCTCTTAGGATAGTTGGAAGAAATTAGTGAGATAATGCATGTAAAATGCTTAGCACAGTGTCTGGAACAAAAGCACTCATTGGATTTTCTTTTAATGTATTATTGAGATTATGGGCATTTTAGAAATTTCATTTATTCCATTTTCTGACTTTATCATGTATCTGAAGGATTCATGAAGGAAGACATGACTACATGGTTTTAATTAACCTCCCAGATTTCCCGTGCTTTCGGGCTAGTTAGATATACTGGGAGGCAGTGACTCAGGTTCTAAATGCCACTCACAGAGAGGATTCCTAAATCTTTCTGCTTACTTCCGCGCTGTTCTCTGTCTTCAGGCTCAGCAATATGTGGCTCCGAGTGGCGGTGTCCTCCCTCAGGAAACAGGCTGCTCGGGTCCCCTTCATGCACACGAGGCCTTGGAGACGCCGATGGAAGGTGGCGGGTGTGGCTCATGCTAGGAGAGGGCAGCCTGGGTTTCAGCCAGTACATCCACGCCGACAAGCTGTCACCCCAGGGACCTCTGTGAGCCTAACCAGGGCCACATAATAGGGGCAGTGGGGCAAAACGGACAACAGGAAGGTAAAAATGAGTAAGAGGATATGTGTTTTAGTGGGGGAATATTTTCTTGATGGGTTAGGTAGGAGGCTTGAGGTCCATGGAAAGCCACAAATGACTGATGGTGGAGCTGGGGCAGTGAGCCGCTGCCCTGGCAGTGAGATCGATAAAGGCACTTCGAATGCAGACACATGCCCAGCCTCCCTGAGGATGCCTCCCTGGTAGATTTCCTGACTTTTTCACTTTCCCACGAAACTGAGCAAGTTTACCTGAGATGTATCTGTGAGAAGTGGCCTTTGATTTACTTGCTACATGTTTGGGGGGCTTCTCCCTCAATGGCAACTTAGACTGGAAACACTCCAAGACACCATCTGCCTCCCTCCCTGACAAGAGGGCAGTCACTCCGTCAGAAAATGCAGATGTATTACTTCTGCCTCTTTTTGAAATATTACGGAGCCATCCTCACAACTTGCTAACTTGTAATTAATGTACATGTGGGTTAAATTTCTATGTTATTATGTATATTTTGTAGTCTCTCTCTGTCTAATACAATTCCCAACCCTCCCTTGGTTGCACTTGGTGAGAATTAACCACTAGCTGTGGATGACTGGGCAAACGTCAGAGGTGACTCTGGGAGGACATGGCCCCTGAGATGAGACGCAGGGTCAAGAAAAGCGCAGGAGCCACAGGGCAGCTCAGAGGAACTTTCTCCAGATGCTTGTCTTCATAGTTTCAGAGTAATTGATTTGAATCCCCTTTAACAACCTTCTTTAATACAAATGATGTAACTTTGTGGTGGGGGGAGGCAGGAGAGGAGTTATTAACATGAATCCAAGCAGTGACAGGTGACAGCACACGCAGCACATGGTCTGGAATTATCACTTTACATTGCGAATGGGGTGAGGGCAGGGACAACTGACTTGGAATATATTAACCCTCGTGGTGTTGCACAAAGTAGGAACTTAGTGAATGTTTTGGATGATTTTATGGTGCAAGCAATTGCAGGCCTGGTTTCTTACAAGTGCAGTCTTGTACACAGAGATATTTGCAGGTTAAGAATGCAGGACTACCAGTTTTCAGTGGTGGTTTTAAAATCCTGTAGTTGAAAAAAAAAGCACTTGATTGTTTCCCAAATAGAATCCTCCATGCTGCTTATGAAGTGATGCCTACCTCTCCTAAAGGAGCCTAGCCTGGCTTTCTGCTATTCCACACAAAGTGCTGGGAGGAGAAGGGGAAGCCAATGAGAGGAGCCAGTTAGAGGAAGACTATCGCTAATCCTCCAAGTTATAACTGCTCATCCACAGTCTTAACCCAGCCCCCGCAAATGTAGGCAAAGACCAAGGGCAGCCAGGTTGGTTGTACTTAGCGGGGAGAAGAGTTAGGCCAAGCCTAGCAGTGGGGAGGTGAGGGCATAGAATGGGCAAGAGGGGAGAGACAGCTTTTCCTTAAAGCGATCCCAAGGGCACTCAGATGCCCTTACTATGTGGTGAGTGAATTTTCAGTGTTACAGTCATTTGTGAGTTGCTACAGTAGTGAAATTAAGAGAATCCATCAATATAGATACAGCAGCATAAGGAAGTGATTTGGGCAGTTTAGGATGAACAGCAGAGGAGACTGGATATATTGGGAGGCTCTTGAACAGAGTGTATGAATTCTTATAGTCAAGTGTCATCATCATCTTAAGCTGGATTAAAATTATTTAGGGTTTTTTTGTTGTTAACATTTTTTAGGTTTAAATGTCCAGTAATAAAAGAGGGTTATTCATATGGAGGTCAATATATACTCTACATACAATAAAAAGTTTAGGTACAGATGTCTAAGGTGAGTACTTTAAATGATAAATTAAAATCATGCTCATAATGGTCCGGGACACTTGTAAGGAAACTAAAAGAATGTATATTGCAGGGAAAGGGAGTCTCATACATTGGGCATAGCAGTTCAATTGGAAGCCTTTAGTGACCTAGCAACATGTGCTAGAAATCTCAGAATTATGCAGAGCCTCTAATCCAACAATTTTACCTTTACAAACTTACCCCAAGAAAGTAAGCACTAAGCCATGTGAAAAAGTTTATCTACAGGGGATGTTCATTATTAGAATTATTTATAATAGCAACAATGTGGAAACAGCTGACATGTCAATGGCAGGAAAGTGGTTTAATGGAGTCAGTCATGATGGAATACCAGGCAGTCATTACAAGTCAAGCTACAGACAAATTATGAATGACCTCAAAAAATGTTCATGAAATAGTGGTACATGAAGACAAAAGTGCGTTTTCAACACGATCATCTGAAAAATACAGTGTTCTCTTTGCAAAGATATAGGTGCACTTACAAATGCATTATAAAAGCCTGGAAGGATTTAAACCAAAATTTAATCGATATTTAAATCTTATTTTTAAATTTCCTAAATATCTGAAATATTCTTCAGAGAACCTCAATACTTTGTAATCAGAAAAATTAGCTAAAATATTAAAAGCAGGCAATTAATATCAACAAGATCATACACTAGGAGATCCCAGCTCTTGTCTCCCCCATGAAAGCAAGAATTTAACAACTACTTACCAACACAAATAGCTCTGGGAATTGTCCAGAGTACAATGAAGAAGTGGCAGGAACTCATTAAAGAACCCTCAAACCAAGGACAGCTGTATATAAAGGTGTGGGAAGCATTTTATCTGCATCACCCCATCCTCCACCCTGGCATAGCTTGGCAACAAAGGGGATCTTTTTGGCTGTGACCTCTGTCTATGGGGAAAAAGGTGATCAGAACCCCAGTACTTTTGTCACCCACAGCTTTTATGACTGATGATGCCCACAATCTTCACTGATGCTGACCCCAGCTAATTAAACTGCCCAGAATCCAAGTTGTATTCACCTGGAGCCAGAACTGTCACACCCCAGCTGGTGCCCTCATACCCACCCATAGGCGAAGGTCTTTCCCCACCAAAGCCAGCCCATAATGTCTGGAAGAGGTAACTGCTCCTTCAAATGTGTAGACATAAATGCAAGGTTATAAGAAACATATAAAACCAATGAAACATTACTGATTTTCCAGTAACCAACCCCAAGGAAATGGAAAGCCTTGAATTTTCTGGCAAAGAATTCAAAATAATTGGTTTAAAAAATCTCAGTAAGCTGTAAGAGAACACAGTCAGACAACTCAATGCATTCAGGAAAACAACACATGAACAAAACTAGAAGTTCAACAGAGATAAAAGTCATTAGAAAACCAGGAATTTCTGGAGATGAAAAGTACAATGAATGAAATAGAAAATACAACAGACAGCCTTAAGAGCAGATTCGATCAAGCAGAAGGAGGAATCTGTGAATTTGA